TAAAAGGCATTAAGAAATAAGTAGAAGCCAATGAATTAAAAAGGCTATTCTTAGATTTCAAGATTTACCAGTGAAAAGAAAATAAAACTGTCAAGAAAGTTAACAAAAAACATGATTTTTAAAAAAGTTTTGTTGCTACTATTACTTAACTTGCCTTAAGGAAGGGACATTTATTCACTGTGCCAAAAGGAGACAGTAGGTAGAGAAAAAAACTTAAGTTTAGGGGTAAAAAGATCACTTTGCAAACACAAAAGAAGTCTTTCTCCAAGTCAGGAACAAATACACATTTTAATGTGAGAAAAGCATACTCGTTAGTAACAATTCTGGATGAAGGAGAAAATACTACAAAAACTTCCAAATTTTCATAAATGCTAAAGTATCAATAAATGACACTTTAAAACTTTGTTCCAAGCCAGGCATGGTAGCTGTAAATCCAGCACTGAGGAGGCAAAAGGCAGGATTGCCATCAGCTTGAGACCAGCCTGGTCTTCACAGTGAGTTTAAGGGCAACCTGGACTACACAGCAAGACATTGTCTCAAAAAACAAAAACAATAACAATAAAAATACTTTGTTCCTTTTAAACAAAGTAGTGCTAATGCAATAGTAAAAAGGCATACAGAAATAAAAAATATCTGTAGTTAACAGAACATATACCATTCTAGAGTAAATTGGTTGTGCTTAAATCACTGTGCAAGTATGTATCTTAACCTCATGCTGTAGTGTGCCAGTGTCATAACAATGCTTACTTACACTTAACAATAAAACTGGGAGGTAATTCAAAACACTTTACAATGCATGCAAATGTGGTAGCAGTACTTCAGACAACTATAGTAACAGTAGCAATAGTAATATGACCTGTATTTTTAATCACCCAGTACTTAAGGAAAGAGATAGGAGGCAGGCTTTTAAATATACACATGTGTTGCAGCCAATCCTTTCAACTGCAGGCAGACACATAAAATTCTTGATATATTAACCAAGAAAAGTGACACATTTTTCTACCAGTAGAAAAGCTTGTCTTCACCACACAATACTATGTACCTCCACAGCACTACAGTCTCAGAACTAAAAAATTAGGTATTCTACTCTACACAATTATACTTCAAAATACAGTATGGGCAAATGATTAAATCCCATCACTAGCAAAACTTTTTCTGAAAAATTAAAGATTATCTCTTAAGGTGCCCCTACATATAAATATAAAAGTTGCTATTAAATGACCATGATTGTGATATGCAAATCCATAACGATGTTTTTAAGTACAGTATAGCAAAAAACTTCTTCCAAAGAAAAAAACTACAAGACAACTGTTTTTGAGGCTATAAATTATAAAAAAAGAATGTTACAGAAAAACTTAACATGTAGTTTATTATTAGCAAGTATAACTAAAATAAAAAGACATCAATCTTAATTATTTTAAAATGACAACACTAACACCTACATTTTCAATAATTTATGAAAAAGAAAACTGAAAGCACTGATTACAGACCTAACAAAGAAAATACAGATTGACAGACTTTTATTTCATACTGAAAACTGCAACCAGGCTTTCCTACTCTATTCTTCTACAATCTGAAAACTCCCCTGTCCTAACATTGGGCCCACTCTCTCTTCAATAACACCCCAAATTCTTACCATGACATGATCTAGCTCTTCTGGAGCTACCCACTGCTGTCCTTCCTCTGCTCTTTTTTTCCATTTCTTTCAATTCCTCCAAGAATCATTTTCCTCTTATTTTTAGGGCCTTCATACAATGTTCTCCAAAACTTACAAGTCTTTCATGATTTCATAGATCTCCATTCTCATCCCTCTGCCCCAGCGAACTGTTACTCATCCTTTGAAGCCGAGAGCAAATATTACCACATCAGAAAAACCTTTCCTGACTTCCCCAGCATGTATTTTAACATTCTGAACTTCTTCACAACCTGTTCACATCATCTTTCCTGCCAAATAGTTAATGGTGTTAAAAGGTAATTTCAGGTCTTGTTTCCTCAATACCTAGCACCCTACTTAGCATATTTATAGGTAAAGTTTAAAGCCAGAGACACTTGACAAACAATATTAGCTAAAAGTTAATTTCAAGTTTTATCTTAACCTTGATCTTCCCTATGTTCCTCTTTCAAACAGACAGCTTGTCAATTACAGGCTGAAGTATTTAAAGAAAAAGAAAAATCCTTTAGATAACAAACCAAGACTACAAACCACTGATCCTGAATAATTGGAATCAGTTGTTTTTAAGTTAACTAAAAAAACTACAGTTGAAATGCAATGCAAGTGAAGAGACAGGGACACAAAATTTTTGTCTGTGTTGTTTTTGTTCTTTGCAGTACTGGAAATTCAAGCCAGGGTTTTCAGATTCAGCCTCATTGTGATGCATTTTTTTATTTTGAGATAGGGTCTCACTTAACTGTCCAGGCTGCACTTGAACCTGAACCTGAGATTCTTAGCCTCCCAGCATACTGGGATGACAGGTGTGTACCATCCTCCCTTGCTACAGCAACTCACAATAGAAAAGGATCAAAATCTGAAAACTGTCTAAAATTCTATTAGCAATGCCTTGTTCATCACAGCAGCAATGACTACAGTGCTATACCCATATGAATAGGTCAAATAATAGAACATGCTTTTATTAAACTAAAGAAAAATTAGAAGCATTTACATTAAGTAGCTATAAATTATACTGTAAGTTAGTGAGAAACAGAAATGGCAGTAAAACTGATTTGAAACATTTAATTTTTTGAACTTAAAACTGAAATGTTAAAAAAGGCTACCTCAACCCCAAACATTTTCCAAAGTTTTTGTTTACCTAATTCTTATCAAGTGCTAATTACAGATAAGGTAGTGCTCTAATACTTTAATATTATTTTACAGATCAGGAAACAAAAGAACTAATATAGCATAACAGCTGGTAAGTAAGTGGCAAGGGCACAATTTAAAGTTAACCTTTAAGCTCTGGAGTCCTCCCTCTCAACTTCTATGCTATTCTCCCAACTGTTCCAATACACACAGGACTTCGTGTGTTGGGGAGGGGGGTGACGATGAGGACTGAATCCGCAGCCTTGAATATACTAAGCACACCCTCTACCACTACACTGTACCTTCCAGCCCTCCTGAGTAGAACTTCTATCTGTGCTTGAGTCAAACTACCTTGCTAAGATTACCAAAAATCTCCACCTTGCCAAATTTAAGAGCCACTCACATGCCTCCATCTTTTTTCGTCCATTCTGCAGCATCCTAATACGCTAACTTCTCTCTTCTGTCACACATTTCTTCTTTAATTTTGTAATACATAGCCCAATTTTCCTCCTTAGTCCTAGGTGTCTTCTCTTCCCTACACATCCTACCTAGGCAAACTCCCACAAATCTATGGTTTTAAATAGTGTGACTCCAAATTTCCCTGGTTCTATACATACATCTAATTTACCACTTAGATCGGTCACACGGTATACTGAATAACTGAAACCAACCACCTTTCCCTTGCCCCCTCAATATCTTCTCTCCTAGCCAGCTCTATCATCACTGATCCAGTTGCTTAAACAAAATTTGCAGGCATGATCCTTGATTTCTTTCCCTCACCTATCTTTCAGGTCTATTTGCAAAATATATTTGGTACTGTCTCCGCCATTACTATAATGCTAATAATTACCCACATCTGTGCCTACGATATCTGTTAGAGTAATGGTCTCCTTCATTTCATTTTGTCCCCTTAGCCTTCACAAAACAGGCAGAGTTTATAATCACTTCAGTTCTTGCCAGCTTCAAATCATCTTTCTACTATATTTTAAATAAAATCTTTACTTCTTACGACTTAAAAGATCCAATAGAATTTGACTCCGCCCACTTCCCCTACTTCACGCGTTTCCACTTTCGTCCCTAACCATCACAAAGCTTCCGACAACCACAGCAGCTTGACAGTGGCTCCCTTTCTCATCCTAGGAACACGCAGTGGTCATACCCTGCTAGTGGACTTTGCCTTTGGTCTTCATACTGCAAAGAACGTTCTTTGCATGATTTTCAAACAGATGGTTCTTTCTCCTGAGGTGCTGCTAAAACATTACCTATTCAGAGGCCTTTCCTGACCATCAGATTCTAAAAACTCTTACATGATCCTCTCAATGGTCATAGCTATACTAATCTCTGAAATGGTCTTATTTTACTTGATTAGATCTTGTCAACTTAGTAATTTAAAAGCTATTTCCAAAGCCTCCTACACAACAGTAACTGATTAAATATGCTGTTATTTCCCCCACTGCATTCTGTTTACTGTTAGTCAACCATTAAAATAAAGCACTTGGTCCATGATCTATCTTGTTAGCAGACAAATGCTTAAATGACAATTACAAACTCCACCCCCATTCCCAGTCGATCTATATAGCATCCCACTTAAAACTGCTAATTATTCTATATAAATGGAGATTGCATCTTAGTTCGTCTCCTCCTAAAGTGAGCCAGTGTGTAGGTGAGAAAAAGGAATTTCACTGGGCACTTTGGCACCTGTTACATCTTCAACCAATTGAGAGAGGTGCAGAGACGGCTGCCAGATGGCACATGTAAGACGTGGCCTTTCGGGGACTGTATTTAGGTGAAACATGAGAGATTTAAACTATGTTGTCCTAATCTTTATAAACGTCATTTACTTCATTTAAAGAAACAAGGTACAGGGGACTGTGCTCTTATTTACTAAAAGAAATTGACTTGGGGCCTTCAGAAAATATAGGTGCACGAGGAGTTCGGTGTCGGGTCTACACATAACGGGAAAAGCAGAGCACGGGACTCAGAGATCAGCTCAGCGATAAACACAGCTCAGAGAGCAGCCGCAGCTTAGCTCAAGCCCTCCGGGCCAGCTAGCACCCGGACGCGAGCGCGCAGCGCCACAGCAGACCGAGCCCCGGAACCTCCATTCAGCGCTCCGGCCTCCGCCGCCACACTCGGGAACCGCACAGCTAGGTGTCCGCCGCACGCCACGGCCATCCCTGCGAGACAGCCCCTGGGTACTCACATGGGCTCGAGAGTCTTGCTGAGCCAGGACTTGAGGGCCTCGAAGTTTTCAATGATCATCTTAGACACCATCCACCGCGGCCCGAGGCCCGTCACGCTCCGACCGCCCAGGTCGCGGCCGCTACGGCCGCCGCCGCCCCCGCCCCCTCTCCGCGCGCCGCCCGCGTGGACCGCGGTGGGAGGCACCGGTGGCAGGTTCCCGCGAGCCCCGACCGACGACCAGCTCCGCGGGGCCCGGCGCAGGCCCCGAATCCACGGGGCGGCAGGAGCTCCCCTTCCCCAGACCCCGGCCCAGTCTCGGGCAGCGACGGTTAGCCCGGGCCCTCCCCCTTCCCCACTCCCCAGCGAGTCTTTCCGAACCGGGTGCGCGAAACGCGCTTAGACCCCAGGTTTCTCTCAGCTTCAGGTCTAGGTGTTTGACGGCAATGAAGAAGATGCAAAAGTGAAGGAAATAAAGACGAAGGGCAGCTCAATGGGAACGATTGAGGGGGTCTCCCCGGCTCCCAGCACCCCCAGAAGATGGCTGCCGATAAATCTCGCGAGACTTCACGTCTCGCGGTAACTCCTGAAGCCTGCCGGGAAGAGACGTGAGTTTGAGGGCACGTTGGGTGTGAGCGTTTGTTTTGTACGCCTCTGCGCTCCGAGCTGCCCCGCAGTATACTTCTGCTGTTTTAGTAACTAAGGACGGACTTTGTTACGAGGGAAGACGGCTGACTCCAGATCTGTCGCTCATCCTGTGTGCGAGCGTGGTTGTGCTTGGTCTCAAAAGAGCCTGCAGAAATGGAGAGCTTTTTGTGGGCGGCCGGGTGATCTGCGCTCGCTGTGCTGCCTCCACTTACCTCGCTGCGCCAGCAGTGGCCATCCCAGGGTCGGTGTGCTGTGATGTGGACGTGATTGTAAACACAGACTAGGCCAAAGTAACGCACTGAGAGACCGCTACAGGAGTAGGGTCTCCTGTAGCAATTACTCAGTTTGTTGGCAAAGCCCTAATGACCTAGGGGTGCTGCAAGACAAAGCTGAATAAACCTTAACATCTCCTAACGTGGAACCCGCTGTGACTTTCAAAATTTTTCCCAGTGAAAGATAAGAGTTTGATTAAGAGTTTTAGTTTTCTTAGTTTAGAGCAGATTAAATTTACTCAGAGAAGTTACCTTGTATCAAAAGGGGAAGCTGCCATATGGGCATCCCAAATTAACTTCCTTTCTCCTGGGTGGTCCAGTAAGTTTGATTCCCGCCTGAGTTCTATTATTATATGCTGTCGTTAAGAGATTACGTGGAATTTTGCAAAGGATCTAAAATCCATGAATAGTGAGATGAAAATAACTCCGAATCTAAAGACACAGAAGGCCAAAAATAGTTACAGGAGTCACAGTGCTAGAATGAATTGTCTACCACCCGTCTGAGTTCATAATCTGCTAGAGTGAAGTATCCTTAAAAAATGGAAAGATTATCAAGTACCAAGCTAGTCATTTGTTCTAAAATATAGCATCTACAATAGCATACAAATTGGAATCCAGCTAATTACCGGGGTGTTGGATTTAACTAAGTAAAATAAGCCTGAAAGAAAAAGACAATTATTTATGATTCCATTTGAGTCAAGTTTCTAGCATAGCTAAAGAGACAGAAATGGAAATTGCTAGGGGTAAGGGTTGTGGAATGAGGCGGGTAAAAGGAAAAGAAGTTATTTTTTAATGAGTAGCATTTCAGTTTGCAGTGATAAAAATTGTTCTGGAGGTGGATGGTGTTGAGGTTGTGGAAAATTTTGAATATGTTTAATGTCATTCAACTGTACACTTTGAAATGATTGAAGAAAGTTGTATAGTATATACGGTACAATAAAATTTATAAATTTAATATTGCTGAATATTGAAATTATTTTGTTATATAGCCGTGCAGCGGGCCAACTCCACTAATATTTTTAAACCGTATCACCGACTATTCCAAAACTCTGATCCTCCAAGGCAGCCTTGTAAGGCCTCATCAAGTAGTAAACTTCTGTCAAATAAATTGATCATGTCATGTCCCACAGAGAGGGCTTCCACTTCTTTCTCTCCTCAAACCTTGTCCAACTTTCTGCTACTGTTATGTTTTAAGTGTCTTATTCATCCTAAACAATAGTAAGTCTTTAATATCGTGCTTTTTAGGTTCCCCCTATGTCAGTTGATCTTCAGTTGTCATTACCAGCATTGCCCTTAACAGTTATTCTAATCATGTCACGACTTAAAAGCTTCATCAACTTACCTGGTGTCTCTAGGATAACCAAGTTCTTTAATGTATGATGCCTTTCATAAACAGCTTTCCATTTGCCTAGAAACTGCGTTCAATAGCTTTCTGTCTTTGCTTCAGCCATTCTGAACAATTTTGAGTTCACAAAAGTAATGTGTTCTCTCAGTAAACTGAGCCACTGTGACATGTTTCCCTCCTTTTCATTTGATGGACTCAGATTATCCATCCGGATTTAGTATTTAGTGCAAATTAACTCACCTTTAGAAATCCATCTCTGAATACAAAATAGGATATACAGCTACTTTCTCTTAGTTCAATGAGAAGAAAGATTTGTGTTAATACTGTTTAGACGACAGATCATGTCTACATCTTGTACTGTGAGTGCTCCGAAGACAACAATATGTAATGTATTAATGTAAACTGTCTCATTGCTATTTCTTTCTCATTAAAATTAATAACTTTTTAAAAATCCATCTCTGATCTTGCTGCTCTTAAACAAAAACTTGAGTTTTTCTCACATCATTCAATTCTTGGATCTATTATAGCATGCATTGCTTTACTTTGTAGTTACCTGATTTCTTTTTTGAGAAAGTGTCTTGCTATGTAGTTCAGGCCACCATTGTACTCACTTTGTAGCCCAAGAGGCCTTGAATTCATGGTGATCCTCCTGCCTCAGCCTCCTGAGTGCTGAAAATATATAGAGTATGCACCACCCTGGCTCCCGATTATCTGTTTCTTAGTAAACTATTTCTCTGAATCCCCTACTTCACAAATAGCCTTGAATGTATACAGTCAATTTTCCTTAATCGTGATGGTTATATTTTATAAAACAGCCATAAGGTTGAGCATGGTGGTGCACACCTGTAATCCAGTACTCAAGAGACAGGAGGATTACTATCTGGACTACAAAGTGAGTTCAAGGCCAGCCTGAACTGCATAGTGAAATCCTGATCAAAAAAGGAAAAAAAAACAAAAAACAAAAACAAAAAACAAAAAAAAAACCAAAAAAAACCTGCAACTGAATTAGCAAATATGAAATGATTGCTCTTAAAGGAAATACCAAGTTTGGTTTCTATGAGCTGCTTGTCACAAGATCTTGTCAGTTGGTCAATAAATAATTACTTTCTTGTTTTCCTATTTAAAGGCTCCTTATTTAAGATATGTGTTGGTTCATTAACATTGAAGTTATGATCAATGGCAGTATAAATCATTCCTTAAAGCATATAGAACACATGTATTTTCCTAAGATACGTAACAACTTTCTTGCACTTAGGGACATTAGCACCTCAACACAACACAGGTTCCATTTTAAATAGTGAAATCATCGACAAAAAGCACAAAGATGCAAAGACCATAGGAGCAAATAGACTGCAGAATGTACACTTGTATCTAGTGTGAGAACTGAAAAGAAAAGGCAGAGTATCCCCTGGTTCAAACTCAGCTGAGAACATGGGCATTATTAGGTAACCCAAAACTTTTGCCATTTGTGTCTTCTATACCTGCCAAGCCACCAACTACCGTTGATTTGAGTACTACAAATACATCTTAGTGAATAAGCAAATTTACTAATAGAGAATCTACAAACAATGAGGATTAATTATAATTTTTGACTGACCAAATGCAGGCCTGTCATTTCTATGAAATCTTCCCTAACCACCACAGGGGTAGCAATATTTTCCTCCCCTGAATCTGTGAGAGAGTGCTTTTTATCACTCCACGAACTAGTTATTGCTCTGTTGTAGCGCACTTTTCTTTTTTAATCATGAATATTATTCCCACATCATTGCCTTTTTTGTTTTTGGAGGGGGGGGGTTGGCACTACCTTCAAAGTTGGGAAATTACCTAGGATGCTAGTGACTATTCAGAGTAGACCCACCACCAGACTGCTTTCTCTAGTTCTTGTTACATGAACACTTTGGAATATTCGGTATTTGGTTGGTTACTTCACATTTTTCAACACATGCTCTTTCAAAACCCTGTCTGTGACTTCACTGATGCCCTTCTTTTTTGCAAAGAGTGCTTTCTTCATTGCTCAAATGCTAGTTCCACACTTTTCCTAGACAAAGATGGCTACCCCTTGGTTCCTGAGTGTAGTTTATCTTGTGTGTTTATTTTTCTCAGCCTCTGCTTATGAGCTCATTAAGTACTAAGAGCCATACTTACTACTTCTTATACTTCCTGAGTGTAAAACAATATCAAAAAAAAGTTTATTGCAGGACACATGCTTCATCTAAGATAAAAAGCAAGGGGCTGGGAGATGGCTCAGTAGAATAAGCACTTCCCTGACAAGCACAACGACCTGAGTTTAATCCCCCGTTCTGAAAAAAAAAAAAAATTAAAATCAATTTTGGTAACTAAAT